ACGACGACGACGACGAATAATATAGCACGAATAATCGCGTGTGCTGCGTTGGACCTCGCACATGCATACACGCACATACACACGTATAACACACGATCAAGTCTTGAATAGCTCTCGGTGCGGTCTATGTAGACGCAAACATACTTTGCCTATTTCGCGTTGCAGGGCTATTTTTTTTTTCGTCAGCTTCTTTCAACCGGTGCTGCAATTCCGACGACTCGAGGCGCTCGTCTCTCTCTCTCTATACTATACGTGTATTGTGTTGCTCTGCTACTGCTGATGTTGGTGTAGTAGCAACTTATATTCTCTTGAATACAGAGGGAAGAGAGAGAGATAGATAGAGCAAGGAAAAAAAGCGCCAAGCGATTTTTCAAAGGCGAGCATGCATAAATTGCGCGTGGATCTGCAAGTTTTTCTCCTCCTGCGCGAATAGTTTGTGATACTGTATGTGGCAGCGCCTTTTTTACTGGGCTATTGAACGAATAATAATAATAATAATAATAGAAAAATACAACAAAAAATCGAACGTATCCCCAAATACTCGCTCAGGGATTTTTTATTGCAATCCACTGCGCACATGTAAATACAAGCAAACCAACGCGAGTAGCTTGGATTTAAAGTTCGCGGCGAGCTTGTGCTCGCCTATATGTGCGTGGTGGCCGCAATTTTACCGATCACGTAAACATATACTGTACGCAATAGGAAAAAAGCTGACTTGATAATATTTCGTACATGGCGTTTTATTGGAAAATATATAAGAACGCGAGATTCGTACATATGTATGTACTAAAGCTGCAGCTCGTATTATGCCGCTCGTATAGCATGTACGAATATGCGCGTCGCGCGTTAAACTATATACGGAGAGAGCGAAAGAGCACAAAAGTCGCGAGTGCATCGATGCGAACTTCGCATTTCCCCCGCCTGCGGAATATATATCTATGTCGTTCTTTAGCGTATCCTAAAGCACGAATTTTGCTTTTTTTTTTACTTTTTTTACCCTCCATTGCGATTGTGTAGCTGTGCGAGTGATTCCGATCGATAATATATAATGTATAAGGGAAAAATTATATATCAGGGAAAATTATCGTGCCAGAAGGACTCGTCCGTTCCGAGGTTGTTCGTTACATCGAAACGCGTACCCTTTCTCTCTCTACTTTCCGTTTGTCGTTCTGGGCCAAAGAGACACTTTAATTAAAACGCTTCAACTCTCGCCGCTGTTATTTCAATTAGAAAATAGCTTAACCTTTTCTCGGCGCGCATGCGTGCTCTCTGTCATTACGCGTACGGACAAAGAGAAGAAATCATTCTTTTTTTCTCCTCATCCTGTCGATTTCGTATGTATGTGCTGCTGCACACCGAACGATCAGACGTTATCATCCACGCGGGCTTTGACTTATACGCGTATAAAAAAATTCCCGAGAAAATATGGATTGCCTCGGCAACTGCGGCGATGACGACGTCGTGGTAGATCAAAAACCTCGAATTAGCATACATTACCGCGCAGTCGAGAATTTTTCCCTATTTATCCAGCCATAGAGGAGAATCGTCTAGCTTGCCCGAGCGAAAGCGATAAGCCCGCGCCGCCATCGCTGCATGCATATAAAACCTGTCCAGCCAAGAGTCGTCTTTTCGTGCTGCACCCACCTTCGAGCGATCAGAGCTTTTCGACTTGCCATGATGGCGATGGTGCTAGTAGTGGTGGTGATGGCAAATTTCGTTTACTCGAGGCGCGCGCGCGCGCGCCCCGAAGCCCTGCCAGTCAATTTTCCGACGTACATTCAATACCCCCGACTGCATCGTATTTTCAACTTATTTCATGTAGCTACGAGGCGCAAGATAGAAGATGAATACCTTGTCTCGCTGACATTTTACCAAAGAATAAGAAGAAGAGAAAAAAAAGGGAGGAAAGTCACAATGATCCTTGTTCCAGGAGAAGACGATGTGACGCTAATACCTCGAGCCGCTGCGAAAACTCAGTCGTCAGCGGAATCTCGAGCTGTAATATATAAGTAGTACACTTCGATGACTTATGCACGCTCGCACGCAGCGAAGAAGTTTTGTTTTTCTTCGCGTCAGCCGGCCGTGATTCGCTGCTGCGCTCGTGCAAGTAACGCAGACGAACGCTCGGAAAACTTGGAATTTATCTTGCGGGCGTGCATATACAATGTAGTCTTAAAAATTTTTAGTAGTAGTAGTAGTAGTAGTAGTCATCGGGAAACCACGTCGTCGTCACACGCGATGATCAATAAATAGCTTCGCTGCACTCGCGTATCGACTTTTTTCTTGTATAAATCGGGCGCTAAATTTTTGGCATGTTTCGAATAACGCGCGGCATTAACTTTGCTGGCTTATGATACTATGTATATATAGGAAATAAATAACTTTATCGTTAAAAGTTATGCTCGTTGGGTGGTTATTTGTCTTTTATACTTGCCGCAGCGCGCAGTTAACTTTTACATGCGAAACGTTTTCCTCTTTCTCTCTCTCTCTCTCTCTATCGTAGCTCAATCGAGTTTACGTATTATATATTAACGCAAACTTTGTCTCAACGAGTGTGCAAGTTTAATATCATAAAAGGTAAAGGAAACTTTTTGCTGGGGATAAAACTGATGGATTTTCTCCTGTGTGTCGAGTTATGATGATTTTGTTATTTTGACACTATTTTACAGGTGCGAGGGCTAAATTTTACCTTTCTTATGTTATTTAAGTAACCGAAATTGAACTTCATCACTTGCGGGTTTGGGATACGACATCTATCGTCAATATCCTATACTATAAAATCTATTCTCAAAAATTATGCAGTTTCTTGCTAAGACATAAGCATTGTTTACCTATATCCACACTTTAATTTCAGTCATAATAGCCACCTTGAAAGCAACAAATTCACGTGGACGCTAAATTTTACGACAGTACATAACACAAATTTTACAGTAAATTTAACTCTTTATTATAGTAATAAAATGTATTAAGCACGTAGCATTAATTATTTTACATGCAGTAATGGAATAACTTTTTGTAGAGTACCATTTTAGCGATGTACTATGACAAAGTTTATAGCAGAATTACAATAAAAAAACTAGAACGAAGAGAAAAAATATTTTTTTATAATTTTAACACTATTTTTTATAATCAAGAGAATGGTGAAAGTGTCTCACTTTTAATATTCATTATAGTAATGCATCCTGAGCTCAATTTTAATTTTTATCATGAAAAATTTCTGCGCTTAACTTATACTTAATTCACGTACGTCATCGAAACCAAATGAAAAATATTGATAAAAAATCCTTCGCATCTCAATAAAATTTTTAATCCACTTGATTAATTTTTATTAAAATTCATTCACGACGTGGACGCGAAAAATTATATACTTTGATTAAACTTCGAAATACAAAATAAAAAATGGATTATTTTCATTTTATAAAAAGCCATCCTCGAGTTTTCTCGTAGCAGCAACTTGTGCACAACTGCTACACTGCTACGAAGCTCAATCCACTTCTGAGATAAGAAGTAAAGTTGCACAAAAAAAAAGTGATGATTCTTTCGAGAGCTACTTTTCGACTTGAGTCCGCGCGGCGCGCGCGCGCCAAAGTCGACACAGGGGCTGCTGCTCTCGTTTTTGCATTTGCGCTCGAGAGAAAACGCGTCCTGCCGGTTGAAAGTTTGGCTACGCGTATAAAATCAAGCTCGCGCTGATATACCATCGTCTCCTATTCCGTTTGTCATAAATTTGTACAAGCTCAAGGTGCATCTAACGTTAGATTATTTATACAGACGAGGCGCAGTTTATCCTACCTTTTTTCAATACAAATTTCTAAATGTAGCTGAAAAACATCCCGCTCAATTTTCCATACACGCAAGTAGCAATTTGCTTGGCAAATTATTTCGTATATCAGATCGGACAAAACGGTGTGTATCGTGTAAAAGTTTGAAGGCGTACATTACGGGGTCTCGCATTTGTAAGAGGAAATACACGAGCGCGACACACTCTCTCTCTCTCTCGAACATTGCATGTAATGATAATGTTCTCCAATAGTCCCGAGCCGTTCATGCGGAGAAAAGCTCGATGCGTTTCTTTCAAGAACCAACACCCAAGATGCACAAAAAGCTCGTACATAGCACGTACCATACACACACACGACGCTTTAGCTTTTTTCCGTTTCCTCTTGTGCTCGGGCATTTATGTATACTGCGCCTGCATTTTTTACCTTCCTTCCTCAGCTCTCTCTCTCTCTCTTTTTCTTTCTTTCTTTCCTACGCGCTCCTTTGTCGCGCGTATAATATTTTTTTTTCTCTCCTTGCGCCTATACTACTATACACTTTGTGCGACGCGAGAAAGAGAGCAGCAGCAGCAGAAGCAGTATTGACCTACGCGAGACACGCGCGCACAGAGAGAGAGAGAGAGCTTGGGTATATTGTACTCAGAGACGCCCAGCCAGGCTAGGAGCTAGCTGATATAGTGGCCTGGCAATCTATTGGCCATTTTAAAGAGAGAGCGTACTTTTCTTGCTAAGCTTTTATCTACGTATAGTAAGAAAAGAAGTGACGATGTCTGATGCAGGTTTTTCTTCGTCGAGGCTCGCTTGTGTGTGCCAGAGAAACGTGTTCTTCCCCCGTTTTACCTTGACATTTTTATGTGGCTGGGTTAATGTTTTTTTTTATTTCTTTTCTCACAAGCGAAGCACGGTACAAAGATTACATCTCTAAAATGGATCTTGAGAGGTTAACTCTTATATCTTTTACAATATATATAGGCTACATATCATTTGTTCTGCTTATGCATGCAAGTTCGAGCTTGCGCAGGGCACAGCAATTTATCTTCCGATATTAAACGATCGACAGTTTTCATCGATTCATGCTAAATTCCCTTATACATACAAAAGCCACTTCGAGAGGCACAATTTTTCAACTTTACTTCCTTCTCTCTCTCTCTCACTCTTCCCTTTTTGTTACGTGCGAGATCAGTGAAAAATACGTTTTGGGAATTTGTTGTGCTTGCAGAGTCTGCCGCAAACCCCGGCCGGAAGTTTAGCCGGGAAATCATTGGCCGCTGGCGCTGCCGCCTCCAGCATGGTCAATGGCGGCACTCATCATCTGCACAATGACTCTGCTGATTCACACGTGAGTGCCACTATACACACACACACTCACTCACACGGACGCGCACACACAAATTGCAATATATTTTCTTTCGCACCCAATCTGCCCCTTTATTTTTTTTTGTAATAGATATACTATTATATGGATATGACGTCGAAAAAGTCATATCTCCTGCGGCTTTCGCGAGTGCATTATCGGCTGTGGCAGAACACGAGAGGGCCGTATACGTCAAAGTTTTTAATCCTATTGAATAATCTAATGCACTCATGCTTATAACAGCTCACTCTCTCGCCGACTAATTTTCACGGTTATTACGCTCAGGTGTTATTTGAACTTCAAGCCAATTATATTATTTGATCCCTTTTCAACGCGCGAGGCGAGTCACGCGAGCGTGCGAGTAAATCGCAGCCGCCGCCGACGTCGACGCCCCTCCCGCGTTACTCCGAACCAAATAGGATTTCGAAATCTCTTTTCTTCTCTTTAGCCTTCTCGTCCCTCTCGACAATGAGAAATTAACTGCTTATTCAACGCTTACTGTGTACAAGAGGTTAAGAAACTTAAATCGCAGTCATTAATCTCTTTATCCTGTCTTAGTCTCTCTCCCTCTCTTCCCTTTTATTGTAGTTTCCTTCTTATTTAATTTGCTGGGCGCTAAATTGTGCACCATTGGTCGTGGCCAATTTTTCATTACGACTCCGTTGCGACGGTGATTCGCATTTACAAATCGATCCGTTGTTCGAAACATCATTTAAACTTTTAAAATTTCATTTCCCAAGGTTTAAAGTCGTTGCTTTGGTTTTGATTTTTTTTTTTTTTTGCTCTCGCGCGTGTAATTATACCGTCATATTTAAGCGGTAAATCGTAACGCAAGCTCGCAAGCTCTAATGACCTTCGCTCGCAAGCAAAGTTTTTTTTCTCTCTCTCTCTCTCTCCGCGAGATATAATTCCCAGAGAACAGCCAACAACAGGCGTACAAGAGCAATAAGAGTCATCGTCGCTAAGATATTAAGCTTATGTAATGCGAATAAAGGGGTCGTTATTAACACTCGCGGCAAGGATGAGAGAGAGAAAGAGAATTCGAACACAATTTCTAATTTTCAAATGTATACAACGCGCGTGGCGCAAGCGATAAGCGAAAATAAAAAGATAGTCGCGCGAACTTTCGTATTATACGAATAAACTTTTGCGCAAATAGCGCTTGAATCTATACATTGCACACGGTATCTTTTCTCTCTCTCTCTCTCTCTCTCTCTCTCTCTCCCGTGTGTGCGCGAGAGTAAAAGCGCATTTTCGTTGCCTGTAGATGTACTTCGGGCGTCTATATACCGTAAGTCCGAGAAGTTAGCGATAAATTAGTTTAATCCCTCAAGAGAGAGAGAGAGGGAAAGAGGAGTATAAAGTTGTCCGAACAACTGTACAAGCTTTACTCCATGTATATGTACAGCACAATACCTATACATGTGTATACGCGCGCGCACGTGAAGGAGTAATAGCGCGCAGCAGCAGCAGCAGCAGTCGTGGTGAGTAATTTTGATCGAATCCGTAAGTTTCCCCGGGATCCGCACAATGCGCCAATCTTCGTCTTCTTTAAGCTTTGGGCTTCGTTATATACATCGCGTTGTGAATATTATTTTCCACCTCTCGCTCTCTCTCTCTCACCCTCTGTCTCGCTCAACTGGAGAGGCTGTGAACGTATTAAACGTTGTATATAGGTTTGGATGGGTGGGTGTGTGCATGTGGTGCATGTGCTTTTAAGAGCCATATTTCCTCTTGGCTGCACAAAGGATTTTTTCTCAACTTCGACACACGGAACAATATAATTGGATTTTGAGGTGAGAGATAAAGTTCGAGACACCGTGTATAGACGCCACGTTATATAGAAAGTACGACGCGGTGTTCTGCCATCGCAATTTTCGATCTGAAAAGGCGTATCGCTGCGATTTTGACAATAAACATAATAAATTACAAAAACGACGTTAATATAGATAGATTGTATTGTATAATACGATGTATTCATAGCCTACGAAAATTTTTTTGACACTTGCGAATTTCTGATACTCCATCTGTTGATGGAATCAAAAAGCTCATAATCAAACATTACATATGGAATATAAATATTATTATCTATATTACAAAACTAATTCAGCAATATTTGTCTTTGAATTTTCCTACGAAAATAAAACTCATTTTTAAAATGATAAAGAGCCGTGTCAGAACAGCCGTTTAAAGTGAAACGAAATTATAAAAAAACCGCTTATAATTTTTGGAAAACGACTTCACATGTATTCTCAGTGAAATTTATCCGTCATTTTAACGAGTTGGCGTTTGTAGGCGCGTGTTTATAAGCGAAAAAAATATTCGTCTATATTTTTAGCATGTCTATTTAAAAAAATTTTGAATTACACAGATTCGGTGGGTGCTGTTTTTGAGAGGCGAAATTTCACATGCTCTAGAATTAAGTAGCAACATCGCAGTTAGGTCAGACGTAGATTGGAAGCTTTACTGCGGATAATTTTGCGCGCTAACATTTTTCCTTTATTTTACCTCATGTAAAAAATCCATGACCGTGAGTTGCGTAGTAAAGAACCGTAACCAATGCGCACCCACAGTTAAAAAAAAAATAAACGAAGCAACATAGGCGAACGCATGTACGAACGAGAAATTCGCGTATATGCGAGCGTATTGGAACGCGAGCGCAGCCGTCCGTAAATTCAGTATACACCAAATCACAAGTGAGGTATATATAGATGTCGACCGACTAGTTTGTTGCGTGCTTCTTTCTTCTCATTTTTTTTTTGTTGGAGAAACATTTCGGTCTGGGTAGTTAATTAAAGTTGTGTTGTGCAGCACCGCCGCTGCTGTTACGCACAAAAGTTAAAGCTTTCAACTTCGTATTTTTCGCAATGATGAATCAGATTCAACTATATTGAGAGCGCCGATAGTAGAGTAGCACGAAGTGGATTCGACGTCGCGACGCGCAAAAATCTATAATTTAAACAAACTTCGAGATGAAATTTACTAAGCTAATTCGTGTTATGAATTGCGCTGTCACGACGTTTATGGAAGCTGAAACAAATAACTACCTATTAGTACTACTTCAGCATTTTTTTGATACGTACTTTTTCATCGTTTGCATAACATCGTAGAAATGCTCAAAATTGATAATGACCTAAAGACTAAAAAATGTCAACTTTTTTCAAATACTTTATCATAAATTGGTTTAATTTTAGCGGGTTTTCTAAAACAATTATTTTAGAAGTATTAAGCGCTCTTTCAATGACCGAAAAATGAAAATTTAACTAGTTCAAAAATTTTGAACCTAATAACTTTGAACTATTATGAATACAGTAATATCACTTTAAACCTCTACCGCTAGATGGCTAGTATACTTCATGCCTAAGCCTGCAAGTGGCAAAGTAAAAATAAATGTATACATCTCAGACGGTATTCTTTGCGGTTAGTTACAAAAATTATAATGTTTTCGTTTATTTTAATTCGATAGTATTGCACACTGCACCCTTTAGCTGTCGAAAGATCGTGTACGCAACTGATTTTCCACAGCTCGACTAGCTCTTCGCCTATTCCGGAGACTCGTATTCACCGAGTTTGACGATGATAAAAAAAATCGATCGATTTCGAAAATGTCTTGTTTTCGCTATGTATATAGCTGCCGCGCCTTTTGTATATATAAGATCTAGTCGATGCGCGCAACGAGATGATCAGAGAGACGCGTTTATATATTATTTGCCGAGCGATCGTTCAGGAAATTACATTATCGACGAAAGCTTCGATTCTATATACACGTCGTTTTGCCGTGTTTGCAGCTATATATATAACGCGTATATAACCAAGCGTATAATGCGCGAGAATACGTTTGCCGTGACGCGTACAGCTATTCGACAAAAAGTCTGTTTACATACTATTCGTAACGTTCGTATCAGACGGAATTTATTTTTTCGTCGAATGAAAATACATCATTTATTTATAAAGTATTTTTTATTCATCGAATTAATCCCCCAACTATACCGTGACGGAATTTTACAAAGTTTTTATGCTCCACAACCACACAATCTCTCTCTCTCTATCGATCTCCCTTTTATATCTTCAACTGATCGTTATTTTCTCTCCATTTTTTTTCCAGGAGCTGGTTTATCGGGACGGAAATTTGGTGTCGGGCTCGCTGGAGGCTCTCGTGCAGCACATGGTGCCCACCGAGGACTACTATCCCGATCGAGCTTACCTGTTCGCCTTTCTGCTGAGCGCTCGGCTCTTCATCAAGCCGCACGAGCTTCTCGGCGAGGTCTGCGCGTTATGCGAGCATCAGCAAAATCTCAACGGCGAGGGCGGCAAGGTGAGTTACTCCACTTTTTTTTTCTCTCTCTCTCTCTCTCTCTCTTTCAGGTTTTTCCTCCATGTGGATACTATACGCAGAGCTCTATGTATACATGAAATACAGGCGTGTCTTTTTTTTTACCCCCCTGCGTGCACGATGTGCCGAAGCTATTATTCTTATACACATACCGCTCTCTGGTTTTTCTTCTGTTCTCTCTCTCTCGACTCTATTTTTACCCCTTATCCGCGTGCATCTCCGCTCTCGCTTTTTCCTACCGTTTACGTAAGCCCGCGCAGAGAAAACACAAGGAAGAAAAAAAATCATTGTTCTATCTCGAACGTGTGGCGGCGGGTACGGTATATTTAACTTCCTAAATTGAATCGTAATTAAGTGGATCGCGCCGCCGCTGCTGCTCTTTCTTTGCTCACGCGCTGACAGCAATCGAAGCTCTCTCTCTCTCTCTCTTTCAACTGATTTCAGCAGCTCCGGGTGTAATTATAAACAAAAATATTTGCCCGTCAATTACTTCGGAATTTAAAATTTAATATCTCGAAATTTAATATTTAAATTTTATTACCTCGAATAACGAAATGAAAAGAGAAAGAGAGAGAAAAAAAATTAAACAAATACGTCGCGCCGTTGCTTCTCGTTCGTCCAACTCAAACATTCGCAGCAGCAGCAGCAGCAATCTTGCGCTTTTATGACTGCACGGCAGCAGTGGTATACAGCGCACGAGACAGTAACGAGCTTCGCGCGCGCGCGCTCGTGGAAATATTTGCTCGGAATGTCCGGCGGACAGCTAGCTAGCTCCGAGCCGGCGGGCCGCTACTCGTAATGTACTACCCCCGTTACTTCGGGGTTATTTCGAGACACATAACGTATACTTTTATCTACTTTATTATTCAAGATATATACATATAATTTTTAAGTTAACGCATCACTGCACACGAGAGAGTTTGTTCGAGAAACAATGAACGGTGATAACATTTCGCGAGCAAAATATTACTTTACATTTTACCAAATACGATTATAATTATTTCTCTCGCTCTTTTTCTCCGCGTCTCCGAGGCGGCAGACGGTGCACGCACACAGACGCATATCGCACAAAAATCAGCCAAGTCGAGGGGATATTCGAGTGCGGAAAACACAAAGAGCTCTCTCGCGCGCGCGTGCATTATCGTCTCATCGAAGGCGGCGTCGTGGCGTCCCCCATCTCGCACCCCGAGCGAATGGCTTGTTCTGCTGCAGCACTTGTGCGATTTTCTTTTTCCTCCTGAACATACCGAGCGTGCGCTTTATGCACAGCGCGTAAAACGCATACCGAATGTGCTGTATGCTGCGACGCCTACACATATATATAGTATAGTATATACAAAGAATTGATCTGTATATTGCTCTGCGTACACGCTATCGACTTATTTCTTCTTTGAAACTGTGCGAGCTCGTACAGAAAGAAAGCGCGGGGCGTCTATATAACGCTGCCTTTCCATCTGTCTTCTTTTTTTTTCAAGCTCTTTTCGCCGTCGCGCGTAGCTTCCTTTTTCTCTCCGGGTTCGTGTATACTCATCGCTGCTGCAGATTTTTTTTACCGTGGTAGAAAGCGTGAATAGCAATTCGAAAAAAATACAAAAAATTAGGATAATAACTCGTTCGCGTACAGAGCCCGAGCTGCGTCGATGATAAATAATTCAAGACGAGAGCTTGCACCCGTCAACCGACACCCACGTAACGAGCTTTAAAATGTATGCGTACATGATATTCGCGTGTTTCGATTATGTATTGTTTCACGTGATGGGTTTGTTGCAGTCAACTTTCTAGTGCTGTGTGACACATTAGCGTATAGCAATACACTCGATACATTTGAACTTGGTACGTCGATGCTTCATGGGTTGTGCATAATTCATATCTAATTGCTGGTAACCAATATTGCATACTCGTATATTGCATCGAGCAATTTGTGATCCGACATTTGTCGTTTCGCTTGTTCCATGACACACGTCGATTTAACCGCATCGTATCGAAAGTGCACTTCCGCTAATATATCAAGTTCCGTAATTGAAAAAGTTCACTCAGAGTCGAATAAACCATCATAACTTCGTTAACATACGCGATTGAATTATTACAGGAGCGTCTGCATCGCTTCGTGCCGCGCTTGGTGCAACTGCTCACCGAGTGGACCGAGACCTTTCCCTACGACTTCCGAGACGAGCGCGTCATGGGTCACGTGCGAAACATAACTCAGAAGGTGGCCAACGTCGACGCGGCGGCCCGGCAAGAGGTCTCGGTGCTGCTGCAAAATCTGCTCGTGAAGTTCACCGCGCTGGAGCGATACGAGGAGGCACTCAGCCGACTGGCCAACGAAGCCACGACAGAGCCACTCGCACAGGTAAGCAAGCATAATTATTATTGTTCGATTAGTCGAGAATTAAAAAAAAGGAAAAAAATCCACGACGACGCGATAAAACGAATAGGGAAGTTCGCCGACGACTGTTTTTAATATTCTGCTTTTTCTCGCCGAACGCACCGTCGAGAAAAACTAAACTGACTTTGTTTGTTATGTTTCTCCAAGTATCTTTATAGTATTTTTAGTTAGTTTTACAACTTGTGTCAACTTTTAAGTTTCCAATAAAAAAGTTTCGAGCTGCGAAGTTTTCTGCGCCTTGTGTCGTCTTCGCGAGTGTGTATATAGACACACTTACAAACGCAATACAAAAATAACCAAGGGACGCATAGAGGGCATTCTGTACAAAAGTCAAAGAAGCGCAATTGGGTGCAAAAGTTTATCTATTGTCATTGCGACTCATTTGTCTGCGCGGCAATTTCTAAACTTCTATCTAAGCAACATATAATCCGATGAATTGAAAGAATGAAATATTCAGCACAAAACGGACAAACTTTGGCAGTGAACTCGTTATAAATATATTTATAATTTATACTATATATAGTTTTCCTAACGATATTAAAAAAAAAAATTTCATTGCCCAAAAATGTATAATACGGAAAAAAATCATGAAGTACTTTAATTCTATACTCAAATTTAAACACTCGAAAATTCAATTATATTTAATTCCAGTATCCACTACTAGATGGCGAATACCTTTATATATGTGAATCTGCAAGTGGCAAGGTGAAAATAATGGTATATCAGTCGAAGCACGGTTTAAAAAAAATATTTTTAATGACGAATTCGCATCAATCTATGCGAAGCATAAAAGTTCCTACTCTTTAACATTAATTATAATGGAAATATTTTCGATTGGGTAATAGAGACAAATTCATCGAAAAACCTTAAAATTATCATTCAATCATTCATTTACATTCGGATTCGGATCGAATCATGTACTGATAACATTAATACTGCATATATTACCTACTGGCGTGTAGCCGAGCCCATACATCAAGAATTTGAGTGTATCGATGGCCATTTCATTTATTACAAACTCGTATAATTATAATACCGTAGCATGGATTTTCTGGTCGTCAAACTCAATCACGTATCAATTTATCAGCTTTGACGTAGATGAATACGCACTATACGTATAGACACTGCGAAAATTATATTATGTTTTTTTCGCTGCTTTTCGGAGCTATAAAGTCAGAATTGAAAAAATTAGATTTTTCAACCTGAAAAAAAATCCAACGTTATATGTTCCGTTCGACTCGTCTCAATGTCACGTTGAATTATCATAATCTCGCACTCGAACGCTCCGCGCATAAACTCGCGCGTGTATTCAACGCGAGCACGTCGCACACACAAGCTGATATTCCGAGAGAACGTCGAATACAAATTGACTGCGCGTATGTATAGTAGCTGCAGCCTCTCTAGAGCTTCGGGGATGATCGCCGTTTTAATTGTGTAAGGCGCGCGCGCAAGATTGCGTCGCACGACGGAGATTACGGAGATTTACCGAAGATTTACCTTATTACGAATTCGAATCCGCTTATTAGATGTAAAGGAAATAAGACGACTGCCTGATGTCGCCGTCGAAAACGCGACGGATGTAATTTTCCGAGATGTACTTGAAATTTCGAAATTCCGCAGCGCACGAACGTCATAATTCACTTAAACCTCGTACGCGGGGAAGCTTTGATTTAGTCAATTCGTATCGCGATTAATTCAATATCTCGAGTGCTAACGCCTGTATACAAATTGTATTACTTTTGCAGGTCGACGTGACGGAGCTGTGCCCGTCGGCCACGGTGCTCGCCCAGCAGCTGACTCACATCGAGCTCGAGCGGCTCTCCTACATCGGCCCCGAGGAGTTCGTCCAGGCGTTCGCCAAGGTAAGTGTGAGTATAAATCCAGTGGCTTTACGCGCAGAAACAGGCTGCGCTCTTTTTTTATTTTCTCTCCCTCCCTCCCTCACTCACTCACTCTCTTTCTTTATCCTCCAATTTTATAGATTACGACCGAGGACGCGCGTTATAATAATTCAGAGGCTTACGCGTATATACATATAGTATAAAAGCGCGAGCGAAACGTATTACATCACGCCTGTATACACGTATAAGCACGCGCGGCTACTGGTCCATGCGCGCGAACGAGACCCTTTATCACTTTTATAGCCTTGTTTTTTGGGACGCGAGTATGGGTACGGTGGGTATAAAACGCGCGCGCGCGGGGTGTGAGACATATCGTACAGCTAGTACGGCCGCGAACGAGCTGCGCGTCGCGTCTCCAGCTCTCTTGTGCTTTTCTGATTTATAAGCTTAAATGTCCGTGTGTCTCGCCTCGCGGCGATTTATTCGCGATGAATTCCGAAAGAGTCGGCGATAAGTTATACGACAGCTTTATTAGCCTAAATTAATATCGCAATTATCGAGGCGATACATTCAAGCGATACGTTATACGTGTGCGATATAACGAGGCGCATTTTATAATTTTGCAGGAATCGGCGCACTTGGAAACTTCCTTCAAAGACATGAAGAAGACGCGCAATCTCGAGTCCTACGTGCAGTGGTTCAATCGGCTTAGCTACTTCGTCGCCACGGAAGTTTGCAAGGTAAACGAGCGCGAGCTCGAGATTTCCCGAAACTTGTGATATACGATATATAAATTTATATACAAGGCCTGTGCTAAACTTTTTCTCTCTCTCTCTCTCTCTGTGCACACACAGCACGCGAAGAAAAAGCAACGGGTGCGCGTCGTGGAGTACTGGATCGAGGCCGCCCGCGAGTGCTTCAACATCGGAAACTTCAACTCGCTCATGGCCATCATCGCGGGCTTGAACATGTCGCCGATATCGCGATTGAAGAAGACCGTGAGTATACGTTTCGCAGATTGCACCGCGCACACACACACAGTTCTCTATAATAAAAATATTTTATCGTCGTCGTCGTTGCGCAGTGGTCCAAAGTTCAATCGGCCAAATTTTCCATCTTGGAGACTCAGATGGATCCCACGGGCAACTTCAGCAGCTATCGCAGCACCCTCAAGGCGGCGATGTGGCGTAGCGCTGGCGCTACGGACGAGAGGCAGCGCATCGTCGTGCCCTTCTTCAGTCTGCTCGTCAAGGATCTCTACTTCCTTAACGAGGGCTGCAGTAACAAGTGAGCTATATATATACCTTTTTCCCACTACTTTGCGCTATATATACTTTATATCCTTTTTAATTAAACCAGTTAGACGATTGCGCGCGCCTGTATCCTCTGTCGACGCGATGCGATGCTTAATTTGATGATGCGAACTCTTGACCTCCTGCGTTCGTGCCGAAAATATTTTATATTAAGCGCCTGACGCGACTGCATACATCTTTGCGGATATAAAGTTAACGAAGCTACGCGATATTACCTCTGCTCCTAATTCTTTCGGCTTCTCATTCTGAGCTGCTTTTTCGATCTCTATACATAATGTAACGTATCAAATTTTCGCCCAGCCTGCTGCTGCTGCACGATGTAGCATGTATAATTTGTTCACATCGCTTCGACGCGCGTCGCGCACGCATCGCGTCTACGTCGACGTCGTCGTCGTCGTCTTTCGTCTTCGTAGTTTTCTTTTATATATAACGTTAACTTATCAAACTTGTGTAATGACCAAAAGTTGAAACGGGATTTCGTCAGGAGCCCCCCCCCCCCCCCCCCCCCCCCCTCCCCCCTTNCCCCCCCCCCCCCGTACCTACTGCTACTACTCGTGCGAGCATCTTCTTCTTACTACCTCTACTTTTCATGTTTTCCAATATACATATATATCGCACGGTACGTGTGCATCTACTTTAGCTATGCCGAGCTGCGCGCACGAGTTGCTGCACTCTCGATGAGCCGTAGCAGCAGCAGCAGCAGCCGAGAGCCGTAAATCCGAGTAGTCACTCTAACGCTAACGCTTCTTCTTCTTACTTTTTTTTCGGTTTTATATATCGCGTATCGCGTGCAATATTTTTCCTCGGCTAAGAAAAAAAAAATAAACGAAAATTCACGTGGTAATCGAGCTCGCTGGTCGAAAATGATATTGTGTTCGAGCTGTATAAGGGACAATTTGAGCGTGGGGCCGATAAAATTGATTACGGCGCAATTTCTCTCCACAGACTGCCCAACGGCCACATCAACTTTGAGAAGTTCTGGCAGCTGGCCAAACAAGTGACGGAGTTCATCGCCTGGAAACAAGTGGCCTGTCCCTTCGAAAAGAACACGAGGGTCATTGCGTTTCTCCAAGCCAGTCCTGTGCTATCCGAGAACGGTGAGTTTTCGTCATTCTTGTCAATAAGCTTCTTTTACTTTTTTTCATTAAATTGTCACCAAAATCGTACTCGCGCGTTGAGTCTTGTTTTTTTTTGCATTGTCCCAGTGAAACAAAAGTCATTCGCTGGATGATTTATTTAAGATTTTTTCTTTTTACAATGAAACCTGCCAGAGGCAATTTCGGAGGCCGTTTATTTATCGGCATGAAACGCTTATCACGGCAACAATGCGCCGCTTCGTAGATAGGATATAAAATAAAACGAACGAATAAAAAAAAAATTGAACGACACTATAAGCCGCAATCCACGTATATATTGTGTGCCGTCGTAAATGCAGTGGCTCATCGCGATTGGAGTTCCAGACATTTTACCCAAAAATGACGCTAATATACATTTTTTCATCGTTCTCTGTGTACGCTTTTTTTGTTACAGCTTTGGCACTGGCGTCGTTCGAGTGCGAGCCACCGGATAACAATCACGAAAAGGATCGATACAAAGCACTAAAGTGAGTATTATTCTATTTCAATTATTCAATTTTAATCTGGCGCGCATCCACCACCTGCACCTCTGCACAATCGTTCAACTCTCTCTGTCGGGCGCCCGATACATATGTTCGCGTGAATGCGCCGTACCTTTTCAAAAGGAGAGAGACCTTTTATCGCATAATGCGAGATTTTCAATTACCGCTCGTCGTCGAGCGCGCGCGCGTATCTTTCGCGCGTAAACTCGTATAAATTGTATGTACACGAGCGTACGCGTACACACTCTTTGCGATAATATCAAAAAATAAAAATCACATATATTTCACTCGAGTTCTTTATCAAAAAAAATTTTTCACCTCTTTTTTTCCATGTGCATAGAGCCGAGCTCAGCAGTCAGTGAAAATGGGTCTCTTCAGAATGCTACAATTCCTCGAGAGCGAGATATTGAAGACACGGCGCGCAAGCACATCGCTACAACACTAATTCAACCGAGAGAAGCAGGCGCGCGCCTGCCTACCTGCCTGCAAATACAAGAGAATAACAAGAAACTTCTGTTCTCTGCCTATAACGTACTACAACGACACAAGCTGCTTACATGTTTCGCGGGAGATATGCTTGTTGTGCGCGCGGCGCTCGATGTAAGAGAGGGCGGCGGCGTCAGCCCTCAGCGCTGTATACGCGAATTACAATTTCTCGAATAGAGAGCAAATACGATGTGAACTTTGCGCGAAAAAGTGTAAGAAATCGAATTTCTAAAATGTATTTGTCTTCGTATTATGATAGATCCGTAGGATTTCGGTAATAACAGTATTTTTTTTTGTTTTTTTGAATTTTGTTTAGGTTGATTTTGTTATTGTTTTCAAATTTTCGAGAGTATTTCGATAAGAGAACAAGTAAGCTTTGCGTTTGCCAAGTAATAACAATGCAAGCATTTGTTTGAACTCATTTGAATTTGGATTTTTGCCAGTATTCGTAAGACTGTGGTAATTACAATTTCAGTGTAGTGCGTTCGAAAAATTTTCAAAGCTTTTTACGCAACAGCGTCTTAAAAAGCGGTAAGTTTTTAAAGTTTTCGTATAGATAGATAGATTTACGACACAATGAAAAAGAAAACGCCTATATCTTCGGAAAAGTTTGATGTGAAGTAAAAGGAGGCCAAAAAAAGAGAAGAAAAAAAACGAATACACAGAAGTACTCTTAGTCGAACAAAAAAAAATGTAACACATTTACTCTCGTTAACCCGTCGAGACACTCGGGAGTGTGAGACTCTTGAAAAATTGCTCGCTACACACTTACAATGCTAGAAATCCGTTCGAGTACTCGTACTCGAGACTTCATTGAATAATTTATTCGCGCGAGAAATATACTTTACGATATATTTCTTCATCCATTGTAATGCCACATGTCAATGCCAAGTATTGTTACACCAGTAATACATAAGATACTATCGATGAGAATTCAGGATAAGATTTGTAACCCGAGCGCGTGTAAGGATACGAACGAAAAAAATTCCTTTTTTTATAATGAATTTTGATATAATCAATTAGAATTAATCAAACGAAACGTTTGATGTACAAGTTAACTAGATCGTCGCGTCGAGATACGACGCTCTAGTTCGATAAGCACAAGCCAAATTAATTACTATGCAAAAGGCCTAACTCGAGAAACTAGTAAATAATATCCATACGAAAGCTCTGGTTCGTCTGAAGCAAGCATTTGAATCGATATAGCAACGACATTATCAGTCATATTATGAATACAAGCGTCAATTCTTCACTTCATTTCACTTACAAAGAGCTTAAATATTTCATAAACAGGGGAGGACACCTACAAGGAATCTTATTACAACTCTCTTGCGTCTTTGCTCGTACGTGTGCTGCAGCTGGGATTAAAGTCAATAAATTCCAGTCGTGCCAGAGAAAGATTTAAAAACTATATATTGCCCCCGGGGGAAAACTCATTCTCTGCGCAGAGAGACAGACGAATAACGCTAAAACGATGCATAATATTACGTTATCGCTACTACGAGAGATGTTTCGCGATTGAATTTACGCATGGTGCATGAATTTCCTAGCGTACTCGGCTTTAAATTCCGTTAATTAGCTGTAAGAGAGGGAGGAAATTCAAAGATCGAAATAATGCAAACGTTACAACGATATTTCCATAGATAACGCGATGTTCAAGTGTTTCATTGCCGACGAGTGGCTCAGCGCTATACATTATATACTCTGCGCGCAAACAAAAGATAAATGACGAGCCAAGAGCTCGAACTTACAAGCACACTTTAAGTAAAACATAAGCGATGTATGAATTATTTTCCGTAAACTTCGAGTTTAATCATTTCGTAGTACTTTTTATTTCGTATTGCATATAGTTATTAAGAAGTCTATATCGATATTATTATGTTTTTTTTTTGTACCTGCTCGAGAAAATTAAGCAAGGTCGCTTGTGTGAATTTTAACTCGTTGTACGACAAATTTTGTTTTCGTATTCACGGTAGCGTGTAAGTACAATATTATATACGTATGAAACACGTCTATGCACCTAAGTGTAATGTAACGTATGGCATGTAAAACTAACGTGTCACATTGTAAATAATACATGTGTATATAAAGAAAATAAGTAGATATTATCGTATTATCGAAACCTTTATATTATTATTACTAAACCTCGAGCGAGCAAAGAAGTGTGAAAACCCTAAAACACGGAAAATCGTATTCTTAAAGTCAAGCGTAATACTAAAAAGTATATTTATAATTAACTACACGAACAAAAAACAAGAAGAGTGCACAATGTGTGATTATAGAATTTTTTTGTTGTTTTTCTTTATCTTGGGAGCGAAGGAAAGTATTAAATTGAACGTGGTTTGGAAAATCAACAAATGACTATTGTGATTGCGTTAAAAATATCTTGCAAATACTTGCTTTATAACATCTAGTCACTAGTTATTAGATCTAGTCTAGCTCTCTCTATCTTTCTCATTTTTTGTGTATATGTTTATGTGATTAAGCGTACGGTTAGTTTATTTTCATAAAGCACGATGTATTTGTCAAGTATGAGTATTTATAGTGCACGAATTTTCTTGAGATAAAAGCGACATTCCATTGTGTAAATGTTCATGTGTGAATGGACGAGCGAGAGAATAAGCGTTTAGTATGAAATTTTCCATGTTTAAATTGTGCGAGAACAGGATAAATCTCACTTTATTTTAAAATTCAAAAATCTCATGTCACATTCATGTCTTCGCGTCACATAATCTTGAATCACTGCACAGTTCGTGTGCGATAAAATAAATCCTTTTCCCGTCCTTTCATAATTATATTATATCTCGTAAAAACTAAAGATATCTGCAGAAAAAAATACATTTGTACAATTTTTCAACGTGGGAAAAGTTAATGATATTCCATTTACAGTGATGTAAGACTAAAAACAAATGTGAGATTATTATGAAATTGTACTGTGAGCATGTATTTATTCAAAAGTTCACAATGATGAATGAGAATGAAAAAAATTAAGAAACGAATCAAACTGAAAAAGAATAAAGAAATTTATATCATCAGTATTATAAGTAAATCATAAAATAACGAAGAACTAAAAAATATCGTGACTTGCATCTAGATTCATGTTTGAATTGATACCACCATTAGAAAAAGAAATCAATAAAATTATGGGCGAAAAAGTAATATTATCAATAAATAATGAGGTTTTCATGTGTTAGAGACGTCCCATCATTATGATGATTGGCATGAAAAAGTGAACGATTGAATTTGGATCGACCCATTAGATCAAAGACATGAAATATGAAACAAATTAAATATGTGTATGTTGGAATACTGAATATGATTTAACCTGTATAATATGTATTTATTACACTTTATGAAAAACAATACATAATTGACAAAAAAGACGAGAGAACCAGTTTTAATAAGTACTTTTATCTGAAAAATAGCAACAGTAATAGGTATAACGAATCATTCATCCGAACTTATTTGAAATAGCTCGCATGAGAAAATTAGTGTGAAAAATTTATACATAAATGAACAAATAAATATATATGAACAGTATATATATTTATATACACGTAAAATTAAAAGCACAACTCTTCCAAACGAGTTCGGATTTACAAGAGAGGATTAACTTTAGCGTAAAGGTAGTGGTTATTCTAATATGTACCTTAAAAAAATACAAAAACCGACAACCATATTTATAATAGAAAATGAAATAGAAAATAAAAAAATTAAACCATGCATTATTAATTGGAACATTTATCACCAAGCATATGATGCATTGGAATCTGAAAGAAAAAATTTAAAAAACTGTAAAATTCATTTTCATCGCTAATTACGTTCACCATCTCTCGTTTTGACAACATTCCGTTTGACTACGTTTATTGTCAGATAAGTTAAAATCACACCGATGGACCTCGCAACGAATAGAGAACATATGTTTGCGCACTTCTTAAACTAAGCTTTAATGATTTAAAAAAAAAAGTATTGAAGATCTTGGATATTAAGATGTTAAATTTACCGTAGAATATCACAAAAATCAACTTGTTAAGTGTTGATAGTTAAAATATATTTCAAAATGTAAAGCGGACCCTATATCCCGCTCCGATTGTCAGCATTCGTACCTTTGTAAAAATTCGGTAATGTTTTTCTATTTTTTATTATCTACTACTTAAACTACTGCTCGAAACTGTGGTGGCAACGTTTATATGTGAGATTCATACGATTATAATATTGATACCATGTATATAGAACGATTATATAAAAATATATATAAACACAAGAGTTCTCAAGTAAACGAAGCCATTGCGACAAATTGATGGTCTAAAATATGATAAAAAAAATAATAAAAAAATAACGAGTGTTGACACACATTATAAATGTACGAAACATACAAACATTTCAAAAATAATACATAGATTTAAAAAATTAAAAACGTTTACTTTCATTGAAATTTCATTTCCCTTTCAACTTTAATTTTAAATCTAATTTTACGTTTTTTATGGAATCTATAAGGAGTTTGCGGGTGAAAAGTAGTCGTGGTAATTGTTTTGTCCAAGACAAGTTAGGTAATTCTTGAAAAGAAAAAGTTCATATCTACGAAATATTAAAAAATAATGGAAAAATAAATTATGAACGAACCCGGCGACAGGTTAACTTACCTTATGCAGCACTACCGATGGAATCATTTTAGCAGGATTTTTGAACAAGTTTTCGACTTTGTATTGTTCCGAGTCGATCTGTTTCTTGCCCAAAGGTAGCCTGATCAAATTAACCGTACCAAATTTCAAATCATTTATTTGCTTGTTCATTTCTCTTTTCGACAGTATTTTCCTCTTCATAGGATTCCAGGAGTAAGTGATCACACTTTTCTTCCAATCAAAAAATCCTGTAACTAATCGTGAACACTATAATGAAAAATGAAATAATTTCAACTAAACGTTGCGTTTATAATTACCATCATTCGATTTTTCGGGATTTTCGTAATCTCGTCTCCAAATTTCTCTGATGATTTCGAGTTGAGATAAATCGAAGCAGTAACCGTTAGAGCTTGAGACATCGAATTCACAAAATGGTTAGAAAATTTAACAATCCCATAGAGGAAATTGAAATAGAAACTTACCAAATATCTTCATCTGAATCAGATTCTGGTTGTTCATCGAAAAATCTAACTTCCTGCAAATACTGATATGGATCGATACTTGCACTGCTTTCCATCGGAATTTCGATCTTAGGTTTGAAATTTACCGAACAACTGTTGAAAAGCGTCTCGGTCTTACATTTCCATTGGTAAAATGAACTACTCGACATTTTTCTGAAAAAGTATAATTCGAATAATAATAACGTTCGCTGCACTAAATGATTCGTATTTACCTTATAACCAAGATTAAAATTTGACCGAGTAATGTAATAACGAAGTTAAAACAGTGATCAAGCACACCGAACTTTTTCCTCAACTCTTATTCGACTAAAATGTTAATATCATAAAACTAATTCCGAACACTAGCGATCAACAGTTAAAAATGAACGAAACGATCGTCGTACACAGCCCGGCACTTATCATCACAAAATCAACGACTCGCCGCAGATACGTACGAATTCAAACGGTATTACCGGCTATGAAATCGAATCTCCGCGCGGCGGCAGACGCGCTGGTGTAACGGACGCCCTCGATCGATCCTCTGCTCCCTGCATTACCAACATCGTCGTCCACTTGTTCGAAATGCGCAAAAAAAAAATTGTTCGCAAGTGCGCACGCGTACCGCAGCTGCCGAAAGACGCCGCGGCGCAGCCACCGCCGCCGCCGCTGGAGAGATTATGTGTTCGCACTAGGCTAAAATACATACACGTACGTCATCATCATTCATTAGAAGTTGGCCAATTGCATGTATTCGCAGTACAGTGCGCGCATAGTATACATAGCTCTGCGTATCTATACGCGATTCGAGACTACCCATTAGCGCGAAGCATCAGGTTATATTTGTGTCGCGATATAATATACGTATGCGTGATTAGCGTCAACCACCGATTAGCGCAAGCACACCAGACGCTAATATATACAGTGAAAACATTTCGTCACGGCATATATGTGTAACAGTGAGCACCATTTATGTACTGCCACAGTGTTGAGTGTCAGAAGTAAGAATGGTGATAGCGCTTCCTCTTGGATAAAGCGCAAGGATAATCATAGCTGCCCGGTGAAAACGTCCTAAAATCACGAGGTAATTTCCATTACGATTAACGTTTAACGAGCTGCGCGCGCTCGATATGCATGTCCGTGCCCGCCGCACTTAAAAGTCAACACAAATATTACACGAGAGAGAGAGAGAGAGAGACCGCCCGCCAAAATGAATCCGCGCGCTGCCGCTGCCGCCGCCGCCGCTGCTGCTCTGCTTTCTCTCTTACTCGCTCGCGCGCTATACTCGGTGTACAAATATATACGACACACACAACATTACGACGCCATCTTGCAGTATACATATACCGTACGGGGTTTTTGTTGACAATCTCGCTGCCACTGTTGAGATGCCTCGCGGGTCGCGTTGTTTATGCGTGTACTTGTCGACGAGTGTATTTACGATCGCTGGCACGTGTCTATCAACCGAGACCCAAAGTTTTTCTGTCACGAGATAACGCGTATCTGCCTCTCTGTCCACCTAATTTTGAAGTTAGTGCCAGAGCTGCTCTGCTTGTACAGAGTAACATCACTGCTGCAGTGATGAAAAAGTGAATGTTCTGCAACTCGTGTGTGTGTGCGTTTTATTAAAATTCCATTCTCTCATTTTCATTCTGCAGGAATTTTCACGCTTGAAGACAAAAGAGACATCGGAATAATCCATCATGTTTTATGCACACTTTGTGCTGGCCAAGAAGGGCCCGCTGGCCAGGATTTGGCTGGCAGCCCATTGGGACAAGAAATTGACAAAAGCTCATGTATTCGAGACCAACATCGAAAAGTCTGTCGATGGCATTCTTCAACCAAAAGTGAGTTTCAAAGCTTATTAATATTTTCATGTCATAAAGAGCAAATATCATGTGTATTCATGGAAATATCGTTCATGATTAACAGTGCATACTAAATTACTTTTATCGTAATTGTAAATGGTTGAATCCCAGTAAATATCAATGTATTTTTAACATTCTAGGTCAAAATGGCTCTAAGAACGTCTGGTCATTTACTTCTTGGTGTAGTGCGTATCTACTCTCGTAAGGCCAAATATCTCTTGGCTGATTGTAATGAAGCATTCGTCAAAATTAAAATGGCATTCAGGCCAGGAATGGTTGATTTGCCAGAAGAACACAAAGAAGCAGACGTTAATGCAATTACATTGCCTGAAGTATTTCATGATTTTGATTCAGCTATGCCTGAATTAAAGTAAGAACACTTTATTTTTTTACCTTACTTAAACTTCAGAAACTGAATTTATGTATTTAATAATTCTATTAATTTTACTAGGGATGTGGATATCGAGGCACAATTCAGTTTGAATCAATCTAGGGCTGAAGAAATTACTATGAGAGAAGATTATGGAAGCTTATCTCTAGTAACTCACGACCAGGGCTTTGGTGACATGAGTTTTGATGTAGAACCTCCAGAACTACTTCGTCATACTTCCAATATTGATGGTTCTCTAGACCAGCGTCATATGCTTTTTACTGATGATGGTGCTGGTATTGAAGCTGCTTTAGAACAAGAAAAAGAAGCAGTAGCTAGTACATCAGCAGCTCAACCAATGGATATTGATACTCCTATCAGAGATGATGGTTTTGGTGGTCACCTAGGACAAGATATGATTTGTAAGTTTTTTAATATTTACACTCGGAGGTGGCTGTATTTTTTCAAACTAAAATTATCTTATTATTTCCTGCAGCTGGTGGATTATTTGAAGGTGGTCTTTTTGATGAGGCTCCAATGGGTGAAGTTCCTGTACCTGATGTAAGTTCTATTGCTGATGGTCATGATCCAAATGCTGCTGCAATAGCTGGATCTGGTCATGATTCTGATAATGATATGGACGATCACTTTGGAGCTGGACCAGCTTCACCAATGGGTGGTATGAGCAGTGATGGATCCAGACCAGGAACACCAGCTGGTGGTTTAGATGCAGCTGGAGGAAGAATGAGCGTTGCTAGCAGGCGTTTTGCTACTCCTGCTCCTACAGCTTCTACAGAAGAACCAATGGATGTTGATGACCAGCAAGCACCTGCAGAGACTTCACAGCAGAATGACGAAGAAGAAAGCTTTGCTTTAGCTCCTATTGACGCATCCGTTATCAAAGGATTCACAAAGACCAAGCGGAAGAGAAAACTGATCGTTGATGAAGTGAAAAACATATCTGGTGAAGAGATGAAATCTCAGTTATCTGACACAAGTGATATTATCACGACTTTAGATCTCGCTCCACCAACAAAGAGACTGATGCACTGGAAAGAGACCGGAGGTGTGGAAAAACTGTTTGCTCTTCCAGCTAGACCAATTCCAGCCCGAGTTTTGTTCAAGGTACAGTATATTTTGAACTTTTTTGTTTTATCCATAATATAATTTGTATTTGTAACATGTTTTATTATGTACAGAACTATCAACGTCATTTGACAAGTAAAACGTATGACCATGAAGATTTCGGTAAAATGGCAAATGCCGATGAGGAAGCTCAACCTTTAGAGCAAATGAGAGACGAACCAAAAGAACCAGAAAATATATTTGAACAAAGTGGGATCCAACCCAGAAGATCTTCACGTAAACGTAAAGCACCCGCTGACGAGGAGCCATCTTCGCCTCTGCAACCAGACATTACTCAAGCTTCGGTTGCATCGGAACAAGTTGATCCGAGCATGCAGAATATTGTTACCTCGCCACTACCCATCCATCAACAGCCGCAGCACAATTCACAAATCTCAGAACCAGCTGTACCTGACATCAGCAGCATTATGAACTCACATGGACCTGACAATCCTCTCATGAGTATGGAAATGCCACAGATACCACCGAACGAAGTAAGTTCGCTTCTTGGGACGGCGGACGATCCAGTTGACGATAACCCACAAATGGAAAATATGGGCTACGATCACAATGCCCCTTTCCTTGGTGGATACGACAACAATCGGGGAATGCCATCGCCTGGTGGCATTTCGGATCGTGGACCAGCTACGCCTTGGAATCAAGATGACTATGAATTCCCGCCATCGGTTGGACCGGTAAGTTGAAATTCTCATCATTGTAAAATGATTTAAACTTTTTTTGTGTGATATAAATTTAATATTTCTATTTCATTGCTTTTCAGACTGAGGAGCAACAGACAGATGAAACTTACGAACAGTTTGAAGAGCGTGTATTGAACAAACGTGCAGCTCACATGTACAACGCGATTAAAAACAAACTGGACTGTAGGGAAAACATGACATTGTCTGAAATGACGCACAAGAATAGTCGCAAGCAGGCAGCTCAAAAGTTTTACACTATCCTCGTTCTGAAAAAATTCCAAGTTTTAGAAATAAACCAGGAATGCTCTTACGCAGAAGTTTACCTTACCAAAGGCCCAAAGTGGGAAAATCCGTCATTATAAACAAAATATTTTATTTTTTACATGTATACAAAATTCATTTTTTTCACTTTTACATACTATCACCGAATAGTTCGATCTAATATTTTTTTTTAGGTATATACTGCATCGATAAGTTAATCATAGAACCGTTAGTATTTTTCATCCTTATTATACTTTTCGTCAAACACGAGTATACTATAGTAGATGTAAGATTAAGAAAGAGTATATTTCTACACACTTATACTTTAAATGACGAAAAATATAAATGTTATTATTTTCAAGATAAACTTTTCCGATTTTTCTACGATTTTGAATTTAGAATTCGAACTTCTGAAAATGTGAACAAATGTAAGCACTAGCACTTTAACAAGATTCTTTTGCATCGATAACTACTGTATAAAGTGTTTAAGGCCGAGTTTGAATGTTAACCTGGGCTTCTATTCATTGTAACCAAATTAAAACTTGATTACGATGAATACATGGACTGAAATGGTTATTGTTAATTCTCGAGAATATTTCATAGTTAAATTTAATTAGCTAAAGAGTAGATTTTAATTGAGAATATTTGCTGGTGTATAGCTTCCTAACTTATTCATAAAATAAAAACTTGTTTTCGTTTTATGAATTTGTTAAAAATAAATTACCATCTTTATTAATTTTTATATTTATAGTTATCTAAGTTTAATAGATTTAAGATAAATTCATATAACTATTAATTATTCTGAAATGTGTAATTAATATGTGCGATTAGAAAGACAAATAAAAATCAGATATATATCAACAAAATTTTTATATCGATAGACGAGATCACGTATAAATATTATATAATACGTCAATACTTTTTATTCTGAGTGAAAAATTGAATAAAGTTCTATTAGATTATTTCAAATAATTTTTGAAACAGTTGCTTAAAAATATATTCAACTTAAAAAAAAAATTGAATTCTATTCATTGTGTGCCCGTGAACTTGATAATGTGAAATTCATATTTGACGTTATAACGGCAGTATGATTTGAGTGATTTTTTAATATTATGCCTTTACTAATATAGTTAAGTTGACTGAAGAATTTGTTATTAACTGTAATGAAGTAATGGTGTAATATATTATGTTGAATCTGACAAATATTGCGTCTCGAGGCTAGCGGTTATTAAAGAATATATATTTATTTCATAAGTCAATTGATATATAATAACTTATATCTTTGTCATCTTGACAAATTTTATTTCTAGACAAAGTAGCTTCTTGTAAATGCTTAATTTGACAAATTTGTTTGTATAGACTATGAATAAAAATGTAATAAAAATTACAGAAACCAATTAATACTCAAGCATTCTTTATTCAAAACGTATTTATCATTACTATAAATAAATCGTGTGAAGCATTGGTAGGTGGCAGTATTTTGATTAAAATGAAAATAATTTCGAGAGTATGAAAAATTTAATATGGTGTTTTACAACCACGGAAATTCACCATACAATCAACAATAAGTTAAACTCTTGTAATGTCCTGCGCGTAAGTCAAAATGTTTTGGACTATTTTTCAAGTCGTTCAGTAAAAAATAGTCTGTAATAGTGAGTGTGAGTTGATCTAAAATACAATATCAAACAATTCATCCCTCGAGTTGACCACATTCCATAGCTTGTTGGTATCCTCTGCCTTCTTTCTTTTCTGGGTCGAGCTTGATCATGTCATCAATTCTGAGAATTGTAATAGCGGCTTCAGTGGCAAATTTAAGAGATTTAATTTTGGAAATAGCTGGTTCCAAAACACCAGCTTTCTTGTTGTCCCTGATAGATCCTTCATACAGATCCAAACCAACCCTACAATATAGTGAAGCATTTTGTTAATACACCATTAAAATTCAACTAACATCGAAAACTGATAAGATCGAAAATTACCATTTCAAATGAGCATGGTCAACCACTGTTTGGCTGGAATTATGATAGGCTCTAAGCTTGGCCACGAGGTCTGTGGCGTCCTGCGCCGCATTGACAGCCAAAGTTTTAGGGATGATCAGAAGTGAGCGAGCGAATTCGGCAATGGCCAACTGTTCCCGAGAGCTCTGTTGAACAAGAAAAAATAAAATTATTATTTTTATATCATACTATGAAATTTCAAGGCAATATAGATAGACACTTACCAATGAAGTAGCAAAGTTTTCGAGGTAGATGGACAGAGCAGCTTCGACGCAACCACCGCCGGCTACGACGTTCTTGCTCTCGAGGACACGTTTTACTGCGCAAAGGGCATCGTGGATGGATCGTTCCATTTCGTCGCAGTAATAATCGTTGGGTCCACGTAAGATGATGGAGCTAGCTGTCCTGGCTTTCGGTCTATAAATTACCGTTGAAAGTCAGTATTTGTATCATAACAAGTATGATTCAAACATTATTTTCAAACTTACCCCTTGATGACAATGAGTTCATCGTCACAGAAAGGTTCCGTAACAACCTCGGCGGCTTCTCCGAGGAAGCTGGGTTCGAAACTCTCCTCACCTTCCATATTGGTGAGGGAAGTTAAGAACTGAGCACCAGTTGCCTTGGCAATGCGTTTCAAGTCTGATTTTTTACATCTGCGGACAGCCATTGCTCCAGCATCAATGAAATACTGTAAATTTCGATTAAAAATTTGAGTTGAATGTGTGGGTGAAGATTTTATGAAATATATTTCAAGAAAGATTATTAATTACCTTCAGACACAGATCATCGATACCACCAGTGCAGAGAATAACATTAGCACCAGCTGTAAGAATCTTTTGTACTCTTTCTTTTGTGATATCACATTCACGTTGCCTGATACCATCAAGTTTGTCAGGATTGTCTACCAAAACTTCAACACCAAGCTTCATTTTGGTCTTTTGAAGTCCAAAATCAAGACAGGCAATTTTGGCACCCACAATTCTCTTGACCATCATTTGTGAAGCTACGGTGCAGTTAAGTGCATATCCTTGAATAATTACTGACTCCCGAACTGATTTGCCATGAGCTTTCAAAATATTTACAGCGTTGATGGGATAAAGGAATCCTCCTTTGCCATCGTTGACTTTTACAGCTTGTGCTGCTTCTACAACCATGTTACCGAAGAAATCATTATCGGAGTGAATGATTTTACTGGAAATTGAGGTTTTGACAACATTGACTAAGCTCTCTTTTCCAAGCTCATCTACACCAACGGTTAAATGTTCTTGAATATATTTACATGCCTCTCTGAAGGTGAAAGAAAATGTTATTATTACATCATATTTTAATTTGTCATTGCTGGTTTACTAGCATTTTAACTGTGTAACTCACTTGCATGCTAATCTGAAACCACTGATAACTGAAGTAGGATGGATTTTTTGCTTGACAAGTTCATCAGCATTTTTCAGAAGCTCTGCAGCAATTATAACGACTGAAGTAGTACCATCACCAACTTCCTCATCTTGCAACTGTGCCAATTCAACAAGAACTTTGGCAGCTGGATGTTCAACTTCCAAAAGTCTGAGGATGGTTGCTCCATCATTTGTGATTGTAACATCCTATAAGTCAAATCAATAGTCAGATTTGCCAATTAATTTGTTACAATATCAAGAGATCATCCTACTTACACCAATATCATCAACCAGCATTTTGTCCAGACCTACTGGACCCAAGGAGCTTTTGACAATGTTGGCAATAGCTGATGCTGCCATAACTGAAAATGGAAAATTATTCCATCAATATACTTTAATTTATTCATACCACTTTTAGCTGTGTATTACTTCCAGTATATTGGGTAAAGAGAAAAGGACAAAGTGGCAAACCTTTAGAAGCATGATAATCGGATATCATAGTATTAAAAGAAGTCATTCTTAATTTTCGCGACCCCTTGGAGCACAAGGAGGTCACTGGCAAAGGGTCAATAAAAATTTTCTTATATCACAGATAAATTTAACGGGCAGTTTTTGAAAGCCATGACGGATGGGACTTTTGACGGAGGGCACAACATCGTGTCAATTTTGCACATCTCGCAGCCACGTACACCGCGAGACGTCGAGGAGTGCTCTCAAATACTCGACGCGAATCATCATCGCGCCCGAATTAAGGGACACAAAAGGTGTTGGGTCGAGAGCTGCGCGCAAGCTCGCGCGATGCAAACAGGTGCAGCTGCAGCGGTGGCATTGCGGAGTGCACGGCAAGCGCGGATCGATTGCACTCATTTTCCGGGGCGTCCGTGTGCAAAATGGTGCCAAAACTAGGTTGACCGGCGCACGCGAGTCTCGCGTTCCAGTGCCTGGCATGCATATACAGATATAGAGACTACGGTACGATACAAGGCGCAGCGGCCCGAGGTTAGGTTATGTAGCCACGAGAAATTTTTCCATCGCCCCGGGACGACGACTCGTCAACTCTCCTCTCCTCGCTCTTACCGTTCTGGGTTCGCACCGGTGCTCCGGTCTGCCTCTGGCCGGCAACGGCCAACGAACTCGCCACCGTCGACATTGTTGTTGATCGTTGAGAGTTGACAAATTAATAAAATAATAAAAAAACTACTCGTATATCTCTTTTAATGTTTTTTGGTGCTGCTCGGAGTCACACTACGCACTTCATACACCGTGGAACGATGTGAGGTTTCGCGTGTGTTTCACGATTTCAGCCAAAAGTAGTCTCTGTGTATAGAAGCGCCGCCGCCGCCGCGTGTAACTTAGGCGGTGTATGGCTGGAACTCATGGAGATTGGAGAAAAATGTATGCGAGAACTGCTTACGCGCGCCCTCGCACATTTTATGCGTCACGCGGCTGCGAGATTATATATATCGTAGATATATTTCGAGACACGGGAGATTTGGAGAATATTTTTAAATTTCAGGCGAAGAAAACGTGCTGAAAAAAATTACGATTTCATGGGGATTATTTATTATCAATGTCGATTAAAAATCACGGTAAAATGTCCTTTTAAATTTGTTTAAAAAATGTTGGATGACTCTATTTGGGATTACGTTGTAAATAAAAAATTAACGGGATATCCGCGCCGGCTGCAGCTCAATGACCTTATAAGGTGTTGTAGAACTCCGATTATTTCGCAAACTGTTCGTTTAGCTACGAGCGACAGAAATACCAAAATTCATCGATATTAGTGATTAGTTGGTTGAACATTTTTTGGTTCCGGATATATTTAAATATCAAAAAAAAATTCCCTCAATTTTTGTTATTAAAATCTACTTTTAATGAATACATTTATTCACATATTATGTACACAACAATTCAACAACATATTAACATATAAATAGCTTTTACAGGCTTTACTTTTCTCCAATCTTTTTTATCATTTGATCAGGTCTGGTAACTTCGATGAGAGGAGGTTCCTCTACTGGTGTCTGCTTCTTCTTTTTCTTCTTTTCGGTGTGCTTAATCGTTATACCAGATTTCAATGATATTCTGATGGGTTTAGCTATAGTATCACCATGATAATTGTGTTCAAAGTTTACTACTTTGAAAATACCATAATATTCTAAGATATTTTCTAAAGATTAAGAAAAAAATTATAAAATTAATGTTGATCACTTGATGAGGCTGTATTTTAAATAAATATTAATGCTTACCAACTGTTTTTGGTTCCAATTTATATTCTGATGCTAAAGCTTCAATGGAATTAATTTTTGGATCTGCATTTCTCTTACCAATTAATTCAATTGCTCTCCTTAATGATATTCTGCCAGGGATATCCTGAGTTTCTTCATAAAAACCAAACTCAAACTCTTCTGGTAAATATTTATCTTTTGGTAGTGGCTTCTCAGGATCTGCTCGTGTATCAATTTCTTGAACCTTAATAAATTACATATTCATAAATAAAATAAATCATTTGTAAGTACATTTTAATTATTTACGTTAAAAAAATATGCATTACCTCAGCTGTATTAGACCTTACAAAGACTTGCTTCAAATTTTCATCTAATTGGACATTTTTTGTGCTCGCTTTGTCTTTATACTGTGGATCAACTGCAAAAACAATCAAGTTATGAATGAATAAAATTCACTACACTGAATATAATAATTATTGACGTAAAATCAAAAAAAGAAATATTACGTTTGTTTACTAATTCTATTTGTTTCTTAGTTGAATCATAAGTTGGTGCAGGCTTGGGTTTGTCTCGAGAAACGGCTTTGTGGGCTCGATTTTCGATGTTCCAATTCCTCAAAGGTCGCGAGAGTCTCGATGCAAAAGTTCCCATCTTGTATTTTGATTCTTTTCACTCATGAACACTGCAAAGCATTACGTGATTTTGTACAATAGGCGAATATATGCAAGCATCGAGCTTGTGAGACAAAAATTGTCATATTGTTTTTAGATAAATGTGACAGCCGAGGGTGAATCTGTCACAAAAATCTAGGAATAATCAGTTTTTCACTCTTACCATAACTTTTTATTTAAGCTAATACTGTGTCAAACAATTTTGTATTTTTTATCCAAATGCTTGTTTATGTTCGTAGCATGTTCGATCACATTTCATACTCCGAGGAAGGTTATGTTGGCAGAAATTGTTCAGTTAGATTCCTTTCTTATCCATCTTTTCTTCGATACGTCAAAATCCAAATGAAGCAGCACGTATGATTTATATTATAATTTATACTATGCACTTTTTACATAATTTATCAATAATTCATTTGTAAATAATGAATTATTTAATAAATAAATAAAAATGCAATAAGTTATTGTAATAATTTCATTTTTGATGTGTAACGCCTTGACAGTTCGAACATCGTAAGAGAAAAAATTGTTTCTACATTCATGTAGAAACGAAAAAGTATTGTTATAAAATTTTCATCAATCATCGAAAATCACAAAAAACCTCGAAAGAAAACCCATGCAACAACAGCGTGTGCAATCGAGCACACCGGGGCAAGTGTGCATAATTCAAAATGCACCGATGGAGAACAGAAACAGCCGCACGTTTTCGCGCTATCATATGACGAACCCACGATACATAAGGCGCAGGTAGTGGAGGGGCAAACAAACACAGCAGCATCTCGGGAACGTCTGCGTACATACACACACGATATTCGCGATCATCACAGAGGCAGACAGCAACAGCAGCAGACTCTCTCATTTATTTTTATTATCGTTACTGTTATCATTATACTTTCCATTTCCATGTAACGCTGAAAACTCGACGCATGGAAAATCGAGGTGGCTCTCATTGGTGCTGTGCAGCAGTCTCCGATCTCCATCTCGACGCGAGTGTGCCTGCGCGCGATAACAATATACACATAAACAAGCGAGGCGCTTAGTTAACTTCGGTCAGCAGAGCAGCGGCGGTCTGCGGCGCGGTGCTGTATGCGCGTGAATAAATATCAACAACAATAATACAATATCGTGCGGTGGTGCATCCCATGGCTAAATGTTCGCCTCAGCAGCGTCTAATACAATTATTTTTATTATGCGTGCTACGTTTGGTACACAGCACAAAAGCGTCGTGTAAATGAATCGTCGTGTATTGGTGCAGTGCGCGTTGATTGTAACGAAAAAATTGCGAATTTTCACGTGCGCTATCATGACACAGTGTGCTTAACGACGTTTTTTTTTCTAACCTTTCCGTGTTTCCTCCGAGCGATAATAATAATTAACTCGCTACTACGTTACGTTTAAATAAATAAATATACATTGTAAAAATGGGCAATTACGGAAGCAGATTATTGTCGGCGTCGAACGACGCCGTAAACTCGGTCTACGGTCGCGGTCGCAAGAGAAAGTGCATCGAGGAGGACGACCCCGAGGACGAGTGCTCGTTCATCGAGAGGACGATGCAAACGCCCAAGAGGTATTGTATACAGCGCATCGACTTCTTTTTTTCTTCTTTTTTTTTGGTCGGTCGCCAACTTTGTAACGCGTACTATAAACACGCACGTGCTCCGAATTGAACGTAGAAATTGCTCCGCAAACTTTATAATGTACACACCTACGTACTCGCCTCGCGTTTTATATGCATCCGAAGTTTCGAATCGCTAAAAATAAAACTTTTTTACGAGCGACACGGAGTGCTCGAGTTAGCCGATGTCCTCTATATTCGTTTATATATATACTAGGGGGGCGAGCCCCCCTGCGCGCTTCGCGCGCCAACCCCCCTCGCTTACAATTTCATATGAGTATATGTTTAATAATATAAAATTTTATATAATACTTCCATTGTACAGACGTTCTCATCCAGTTGAAAGATTAGCATTACACTTAGAAAATAAACAAAATTTAATTTTCCCTGAAAATGAAGAAGTATTGATGTCGGTTTACCAGCGTTACGTAAATGTGTTATTACGTAATCGAAAATTAATTTTTGATCTAAATTCATTTTTTTGTATCTAAGAAGATATTCATTTTTATAAAATTCCAGTTGACTATTTAAATCTTCTTCATCAACAAGAGTTTTTAAAAAATCCAGATTCGGTGCTGGTAAACCGACATCAATACAGCTTAAATTTTCAAATTCTAAAATATCATTTATTTCTTTCAAAGCTCTGTTTTCATGATTATCTATAAAACATTCCAAAAAATATTTTTTATAAGTTTGCCAAACGTCTCGAATCATTGGTATATTGTTAATAATTATAAACCAAGGGAAAAATTTTCTAAGTTGTTTCGGCATCATTATTAACAAGCTTCGTCAATATTTTTTTTATTTCTAGATCGCTATCTACTAATCCCATTGTAATCGCCGTTTCTCTAAATGTATCGTATTTAATACCTTTATAAGTTCTTAAATCGTCGAATGATTTGCAGCCTTTAGCTTTGTGTAAAATTAATTTTAAATAAAACCGTTCAACATCTTTTGGCACAACACTAACTATTCTTCCCAATCCCCCGCACGGCGTAACGATGATTGCACTCGGTCGGCATTTTTGTATTAGCAATGCACTCGCACATAGTACACAATAAAGTGAGTGAGGTAACTCGCAAACCTCTTCTTGTACAAATTTATATATAGCTACCCGTGACATCACTGCGAGAGTTATCCTAGTTTTTTTCTCTCTTACTTGCTGCTCATGGCCACGCGAGATTCACCGAGAGATTATTTTTATTTTTCGACGAGGCTACTTGTATCCTTGCTATGCACAAATCGGGAAAAAGCCTATGATTGAACGTCGCTCTCTTCTTTTTTCAGGAGGAAATTACTGACGACTGCACAGTACATTTACAGGACACTGTTTTTGGAGGAAAAAGGTAGCGATATCACCGTGCTGATGCTGGGCAAAGCGTGGAAATTGCACAAAGTGTACATAAGCCAAGTAATGCAACATTTCACTTTTTTTTTACTTGAAAAATGCAAGGAAAAAAGGAATGTTTTTTTTTTTTATTTGAGCGAATCGTCTCGTCACTTTACAGAGTCCGTACTTCGAAAGCATGTTTTCCGGCTCTTGGAGGGAAGCGAACGAGAAGGTGGTGAACGTAGAAATCAGCGACCCAAACATCACGCTGGATTGTAAGTTATCTTTATTCATATTTCGCTGTAAACTCAATTAATTTGACGAAAGAAAAGTCAGCACAATAATTTTGCCGATTAAAATTTTGTAGCGAAGAAAAATTCGGACCTACGCATAGTAAATCGAATTTCTTCGTCTATTTCCGGCGTCCATTATTCTTCGCAAAAAAACCCTATGATGTCATAGGTACGCGTTTGATATTAAAAGGGAATAAAAGAATCTATAAATATACTTCTTGTGCCTTCATGAAGTTTCTTTTATAAGCTATTAAAAAACCCATTTATTCTACTATTTTGACAAGGCGATGATTATCGACTAAATTTGTATTTAAATTTCCGTTCGTATAAGGCATTAAAAGGTATTTTAGACAAAATTTCAATCAGTTGTTATGAAAGTCTTTACTTAGAAATTTCAGGCATTTTGTAACTATGAAATAATTTTTTTGGAGATTTTCAAATTTGTTGTTATAAATTTATTTTTTCAATAATCACAAATAAATAATTTTAATACTTCCTTATAGCTCTTACAGTTGTATTTGGTTCTTTCTATCAAGATGAAATCAGTGTTGAACCAAAAGATGTCATATCTATTCTGGCAACAGCAACCTTGTTTCAATCACAAGGCCTCATCGACCAATGCACAGAGATTATGGCAGAAACTACTAATTTAAAGACTGTTGTTCCTTATTATAATGCAGCTGTTTCTTATGGTGTTCCAAAAGTTAATTATACTTGTAAAACTTGGCTAGAAGTTAATCTAATGGGATATGGATGGCTACATACTTCATTTTTGAGAGAAATAAGTGCTGAATTAATGACTGAACTTGTTGCTAGTCCAAACCTTGTGGCCATTCAAACAGAATTTTGTATATACATGATGTTGAGGGTGTGGTGAGTATTTAAAGTATAAAGTTATTAATTAACATTGTTCAAATTTGTACTAAACACCTACGTTTTTTATTATTATCAGGTTGTACGCTCATGTAAATGATAGTGAAGCATTACCGCTGGAAGAATTTTATTCACGTCACATGTGGACGAAACCATTCCTTGGCACTAGAGAAGGCAGTGAATATGCTGCACCTTTCAAAGCTCTAAGACTGAAATACTTGATACTTAATTACCAAGACGTAAAAATATTAAAATATGATAACTTAATACCTGATGATTGGCTATATGAGTCTTACAAAGAACAGTGGTTACATCTTCTGCGAATAGATTCAAATCAAGACATAGGGTAATAATTTTATCAATTTTAATAATTCGATATTAATATTAAATGCATGTGTACATTTCTGTGAAGATCTAGTAGATTCCTGACTAAAATCCCATCCTCTATTTTGTCCCATTTAAAAAAAACGATTGCTAATAGGTATTATTATTCAAAAATATTATACATTGAATGAATTTCACTTTTTAAAGTTGATTTGATTTTGACAGGCCAAAATCTATCACAGAAGAAGTTTTCTCACAAGATTGTTTCCGCTGTGGACGGCAAATAGAGAAGCCAGGTGAACATGCATGGCGATGGACCGCATTCCACTTTGGACTAGATCTGGTGGTCAATCTCGATTTAACGACTCTTAAGTTTAAAAGGTACAACAGAGTGGATACAGAACATATCAAAGCCAATCACAACACTCATAATCTTATAATCAAGTAAGTACAGTAGTTTTGAAAATATTTCATATTTTGCATGATAATTTATAACTAATACGCATTTTGAATATTTTCATTAGAGTTAGTCTAATTTCACTGAACGAACAGCGACAAATTAAGTTTATGCAAAACTCTGGACTAGTTCAGTTGTCTCTATTCAAAAATGAAGAAGTAAGCTCAAATGCATTTTGTTTTGGTGAATTAATTGTATCTAACGTCGCTTTAATCGTGTTTCAGAGACAAATAATGAGCCTTGACAAGGACTTGACATATCCCATCTATGTATCTGTCAATATGCAAGTTGTAACTCCTCTGGCGTACGAAGTGAACGAAAAATGAGCCGAAAATTACAGCGCAGCGCTGAATCCAAGCTGCCGATGTTATCATTAGATGTATAAGACTTACCGTTTTACCCTGGAGTGTTCGTTGATATTCGTCCTTCATACACAGTACTTCGATGGCGAAAATTTATAATTCAATACTAGTCGTGATAAAAATCATACAGATCTGTGTCGCTGTGTAATTATGTATGAATCAAAAAGCCATTCGTCTTGACATGTCTCGACGCCGCGGGTATATTATATATATATTTGACACGGGCAAAGTAAGCTTTAATGTTACAAATAAATCAAATTGCCACAATCTTGATTAGGGAACTATTATCGCTAGATACTGTGGTACCAAAACTAATTTTGGTAAAGCAACAGTGATAACCATCATTTGAACTTTTTGATAAAAATATACTTTATTTTTCATAAAAAGGAAGTGAAATATTTTTAGAGAAATATTATTTTATTTTGGAAATGAAATATTTATTATAAATAAATTATATACTTCTCGTTGAATTCAAAATATTATTTATGAAGAGTAAAACATTGATGAACTTGTAGTCATTCCAATATTTGGAAACCGTTATACCTGTGTTGCTTAGTTTGGCAATTAAACAACACAGCAAGCATAGTCGATTAGTATTAAGAAACACGTTTATTTGTTAGCCATAACGACGTTTATGTAAAGTATTTAATGAAGGTTTAGCAAGTGACACTATTTTTTGTGCAATACAGTTCTTTTTGTTCTATTTTTTTTTTTTTTTTATTTATTTATTTATTTAAAAACAACGACTGCAGTCTGTGAGCTATATAATTTTTACAAATAAATTTAATTTAATTTAATTGATCACTTGTGATGTAAAAGCACAATATTCAGTTACTCGGATGTATCCTTGCTGTATAAATTTCTGCTACTTCGATGAAACGTAACAATGTCATCGATTTATCGGTTAAGTGTCTTTATGGCAAGATAAAATTCAAATGTGCAATTTCAGCTTATAGGTATGAAATCGCTAAAAGTTATTTCAGTTCCGTGTAGAGTTAAATTTAGAAATTAATCGACAATGGATGATTCAAGTACGTTATACTTACTACTATGATGTATTATTTTCTTGTTTTTTTTTTTATTATTACCATCATAATGGTGCCTTTGTGTATCGAGCTTGAAGAAAGGCTGCTCAAGTAGATAATAAAACTTGTTTGAATAATGTTGTAACGATTAATGGAAAATACTTTTCAGATATGAAATAATTTATAAAAATAAAGAACAAATATATTTCAAACATCATCGCAGTATTTTCTTATTTCTTTGCTGATAGATATAGTGGATAAAGAAGAAAAAAAACATCATGATTTAAATTTTTTGATAACCATTCAACACTTTATTGATACAATAATATTTTTCTATACAATGTGTGTTCTGTGTTATACAGTACAGTATCGCTCGGCATCGATGTATTTCAATTTTTTTTTTCAATATTTTTAATAATAAAATTATCGAATCATCATTTCGAGCCAAAAAAATAAGAAAAAAAAGTATATTCTTTCGATACAATCGGATGAAATGATATATTTTATTACAACAAACGGTGAATTGCGAACAACACAATACACGATTCGTTTTCTCTCTCTTTCTTTCTCTCCGTGAATCGAGATGGTATCATCGAGTTCAATTCTCATAGCTTAGCTTGTAGAAATATATATATTATATTTTTGTATTTTATTTTATTTTCTCGTCGTCAGTCACATGATATGCTCCTTTAAAAAATTCACTCGTGAATCAACATCTTGGTACGATAGTTCTTACTTATTACACGCCGCGAGTATATAATATTATGGGTAATAGGCCGATGAGCTACACGATGAGAAATTTCAAAAACTGTGTATATTATTTATTTATTTATTTTTTTAATTCCATTGCGGTTGGGTAAATCATGATCATACAATGACAAAATTTCAAATCATCGTCGTGCTAATATATCAACAATATTACAAAACAACGATCGAAGTCTCGAAAACTCTGATATGTCTTATGAGCGAGGAACGGAAAAGTAAAGAGCCTCGGCTCGTAAGAAGCTTCGAAGCGAACGAACGTATTATAATATAATGCATCGCGCGTTCAGCCTATACGTATATATTCGTATACGTGCATAAGAAAAAGTAACTCGCAAGCCAAAGCGATCAATGAATCCTTACAACGTTTAGCGTGTCGGATCTGCTGCTGCTGCAGCGAGGAGGAATCGGCGCGCGAAACCGAAAGGGGGCCGCGAGCCGACCTTCCACACGATGCGCTCGCAAGCGCGCGCGACACATGCGATCGCGCGCGCGCCGTTGCTCCAGATCGTTGCGCAATCGACTCCGCGATGCAGTTGTAGCTTCATCGACGCGAAGGAGAAAAAAATCATCTCTCTCTCCTCCTCGTTTGCGCGCGTATACAGCTGATGCACGCGAATTAAGTGACAATTTTTTTATGAATGAATTCTATGTATTCTTGTTTTACGTAACGCCCCGTATTGTATCAAAAGAACGAGCTTGCGACGATTATTAAGCGTAAATACGCCTCGATCGATGTACATCGTTCGTTTGTTAATATTTTTGTGTTACGCATCGAGAAAAATACAGCGCGATGCGCGGATTAAAATTAAGCGATTTTATTTTTATTTTTCATTCGGAACAATTTAAGGATACTTTCTTTTCTCTCGTGCTACTACTCTCTCTCTGTTTCTCTCTCGTTCTCTCTTTCTCTTCGCGTGCAGTACTCCCCCTATTTTTTTTATTTCGTTCGTTTGTACTCTAGTTGAAGGACAATTCTCGTATGTTTTTTTTTTAACTTGAAAATAGGCGCTTTGTGGTATTTCAAATTCATTGAACAAAAATATTACACACGCGTGTAAAGTGTATATCGCGCACAAAATTCAGAGGACACATATAGCCCCGGGACGAGCTCGTTTATCATTATTATAATTATGTTTTAATTTTTTTTTTTTTAAATATTACATAAAAACTTGTTAAAACGAGCGTTATAATGAATAATTATCGATTTCGATTATGGGCGGAACTCGAGGTGTCAATCATATATCCACGAAACATGGGATCATTAAAATGTGACTCTCATACGCTTTTACGCTTGCACATATAGGACAGTCGCGCGTGCATATCGATCCTCTTTTATCCCCTTCATTTATTCGCTATTTATAATTATGTTTAATTCATTTGTTTATTTACCTGTTTTTTCTTGTGTTTTTTCATTCGTTTTTTAGTAAAAACTCGTGACACTTTCGAGGGCATAAAATAATCATCGCATTCGTATTTGTCACCGTACCTTATGCGATTGCACACCCGCACCCTGCAGTGTATATCACGTCTCTGTGTAAACACGCACACACAATACAACAAAGGAATAAAAAAAAAAACACGCACTCATGTATCATGGTGGTGCAACTGTACTCTCATTTATTATTGAATTTTCATCTACTCCGGCTTTTTAGTTTTTAGGTGTACACCTACGCGTGTTTATTTCTGACATTTTACGCCTGACAATTCGTTAGAAAGCGCGCACGTGCGCATAGCTTGCGCCATGTGCAGCTCATTTTAATATAAAAACTCAGCTTCGTGTGTTCGATTTACGTTTGCAGAAAAATATACGAGACAGATGAAGAGAAAGAGAAAGAGATAGAGAGAGAGAGAGAGAGAGAAATATAATAGAGATATAGAGAGGAACTTGTGAAATATTTTAGAAGCGAAACGCCCGTTTTATCTATGTCAATTATTCTATTTATTTAATTTTTTGCTCGCCGCATTCTAATTCTTCAAGTTACTTGCTCCAATTTTTTTTCATCTTTATAAATCAACCTAATTACGAACTATTGCAAATCCAGCAAACTTTGGTAAATATCGTCAATTCCTTGAGAAAAAACCAAACTCGTAATCAGTATATAAGTTTCATCTGCGTTTAGAAAACGACGAGCGGGCCGTGACAAATTGTTTCTGCTATCTGTGCATCGATGTTGTTGATCGCCGTTTGATCTTCATTCGTGCTTATTAATTCAATTGCATGAAATGCACGAGTGCATTTTGAAATATATATTTTTATATTTATTTCACACGCCGCTGCGGGCGAACTCGAGTCGCTCGATTGCTCTCTGAATTAATATACATCTATAGATATAAATATGGATGCGCAGATCAATCGATCGGCTCTCTTGTGGCCTCTTGTGCCCCCCTGCGTCACTTTTGTTACTGTTAAACGGTGCGATTGGCTGAACATATAACAAAACAAGCTCGCGTGTGTCTGCGTGCGGTATGCGTGTGTGTCTCTCTTGGATAATAAAATTAAGCTGGGCTTGAATTACAAAATGAAAAACGTATCTCGTTACATAATAATTAATACGTATTATGTGGTCGATATTAATTCGCCTTTGGCCACGTTAGCTCTGCCGCTCATCTCTATTTGGTTTTCAATTATTGTAAATACATTCGAAATCATGATAATATTATTTATTTATATTATATGTATATAATACGAATGCTTTTAAATAACTCGGACTACAAAAAATTGCCTTATCATATTCCCCCCATTTCGCTTTTAATTATAGTTTTCTCTCTTTTGTATATTTTATAATAATTATAATATAGCTATGTAATAATTTTTGGTGTACAGTAAATGTAAAACGGACGTGTTTTGTTAATTTCAGTTTTTTTCCTTTTTTGTTGATTTTTTATGTTTTTAATTTTAATCATTTTAATGCGTCATGCAATTATCGCGCGAGTGAATTGTCGTGGATAACGGGTGATTTTTTTAGCCTTTAGACGCGTTACGAAGCAAAATGCGCTCTCATTTTTTTTTTAAACTATTTTTTCGTTCGATCGAATTGTGGAAGTTTTCACGATCATCTCTCATGCACGCACTCGATCCTTCTTTCTCTCTCTCTCTCGCTCACAGCACGCATACATTCGAATATATATATAACAAGATTCGACAAAACTTTGGCCTTAACTATATAAGATCCTCTCGGGTGTAATAACGAGCGATGTATACGCACGGAGGAGAATCGATCTGCACAGCTCTCGACTGAAGAAAAAAAAAATCGGCGAGTGATACATAGGACTGGCAGTACAGTACGAAGAACGGCGGCGGGGCAAAACGTATACAGTACTTATTATTTTATATTCGTTTGCGTAAAAGTAAAGGAAGGAGAGAAATAAAATAAAAATATAAAAGAAGAACAACGAATCGTGCAGCACACTTCCTGTGATTCTCTCTTGACCCGATTTATTGCCAAGTTGATGATTTAGCTCCTTTTAGTATTCAATCCTTCGACCTTACACGTGTATAAAATGTTATTTTTTACTATTATTTTAATATTAAATAATAGTAATTAATTATTATTTTAATAATAAATATATCTATATGTATCCGGGAGCTCGTCGTACGCAGTACTTCAGCTCTTTGTCTCTTGCGCTTCTCGCTTCCATTATGTTTAATATTTTTCAAAAAAATTTTCCCCTCACTCGTCATACGCTCCTCTTCTCTAGTGCACATACATACACACACAACTGAGATCTCCTCTTGATGATGATTACTTTTTTTTTTGGTCGTCCCAAAAAAAATTGGACGCGAACGAATGCCTGCGTGTACTCGATGATGAATGTATAATTATGAAAATTCGTATGGACTCTCTTGTATTTTTTTTCCAACTATTATTATTATATAACTCTCATCTGCTCTGTGTTTTTCGTTTACGAAGAATGTTGAAGCAGCAGCAGCAGCGGTGGTGCGGCTTCGAGAGCTTTGCAGTGGCGGCGGCGGCGCAAGGACCTGTTTTAGAGAGAAGCGAGATTAAGTGAGTGAATCTTCAATGATATTTTCGAACGTCAAAACGTCGCCGGAGAGCTCGTTAAAATATGCACAATACAATTATTGGAGATTTCTCTAATTAAAGGACTTGTACGGTACAAGGCGCGATGACCCATATATGGTTGATTCTCCTGAAATCTGCTTTTTGCATGTCTTTATGCCATATTCTTAAACTAGTGAAGATGAGCCAAAACTGGCTCGGTCATTCATTCAATATTGTTGTATTCTTCATGATAGGACATAAATATTTCAATTTTTTAGGGTCAGTTAAATTTGCCGTGAAGATATACATGCCAAATGTCACCTCCGTGGCATGTCTACATCTCAAAATCAACTCTATTTGCATGTACCATGCATTCTCATTAGCACCTGACCCTATAATAACTATGAGACCAGCTTCTATACATCCAGAGTAAAGTTTAAGTCTATTATAGGGCTTTGAAAAATGTTTTAAAAAAATTTCCCACGCAATTGAAAAATGTCTCGGATTTTAATCATGCTTCTGAATAATTTCAAACATACCGCCTGCTTTGGGTCGCTAACTCATTTTT